AGTGATTGCAGCGAAACAAGACCAAGAAAGGGTAATGCTAGAATGCAGCACAATCGACGTCAACACTACAAAAGAAGTAGGCCAAAAGCTGAAAGAAGCGGACATGGGTACATACATCGACGCCCCCGTATCCGGCGGCGTCCCAGCAGCAGAAGCAGGCACACTATCGATGTTGATCGGCCACCCACCGCCCGCGCAAACACCAACTTCTCCCGCTTCTCCAGACACGCGAATTACGACGACCCTCACAATGCTTGGCCCACCATCCAAAGCCTTCTACCTGAACACCCTCGGCGCCGGTCTCACCGCCAAGATATGCAACAACTACCTCTCCGGCACCATTCTCCTCGCCACCGCCGAAGCCCTCGCAATAGGCGTATCTCACGGCCTCGACCCCTCCGCTTTATACTCCGTGATCAAGAATAGCACTGGTCAGTCTTGGATGTGCGATCACGTCATGCCCATTCCCAATGTGCAGAAAGAGTATTGGGTGCCGAGTAACAGTGGTTATAAGCCGGGGTTCAAGACGCAGATGATGCTGAAGGATCTGGGGTTGGGTATCGAGAGCGCGGGTCAGGTTGGGGTGAGGCCGAGTATGGCGGAGAGGGCGTTGGAGGTTTGGGAAGAGGCGGCGAAGGACGAGAGGTGTGTTGATAGGGATGGGAGTAGTATATATTTGCATATTGGCGGTGTTTTACCGAAGGGGTACGAAGACAAAGGGAGGAAGAATGAAGATGGAACGTGGGAGTTTGCGGAGTAAGGCTTCTGTCATCTCTAATGTACATAGTGGTGTTGCGAACCCGTCCTAATTCCCTCATTTAGTCTTCATATCGTCTACTTTCCTTGGAAGAAGTTCTGGAAGACCTTCATAATGGCATCAAACCCAGCCGTCTCTCCCAGCTTGAGTACCCTCTCATCTCTTCCAATCTTCGCTGGATCACCATCTGGAACCCATCTGCTCGTGACACCATCGGCACTAGGCCCGTAAACCTTGGCACACAACTTGTCGGTCTTTACCGGCGGCCAAGGGTCCTCCCCGTTGACGAATTTGATGAAGTCTTCTCCGTACTCTCGTGCTACCTTCTGCTGCGCATCGTCCAGGTGCTCGTTGTAGTTCTGGAAAAGGTACGATACATCGAGAATGTGGCCTGCTTCGCCCTTGAAGCGACCTTCCCAAGGTATTCCTTCGTTGAAGTGGTAGAGGAAGAACTTCGAGTCGGATGTGTTGGGCCAGCCTTGGGCGAAGGCACGAGCAGGCGCGTAGAAAGATATCTCGGAACCAAAGCGCAGTATCGAAAGTAGAGCCTCTTCGTCCGGAGTCTCGGGGGTTATCTTGTAGGATGTGAGAAGCTGTTCCGCAACCTCTGGCTTGGCGGACAGTGTGGCGTTGCAGGAGTCGATGAACTTTTGCGCGACGCCTGGTTTGCGAGCATCGAGGCCAAGGTATGCGATGATGTTCGCCTAAGAGGATGAGCTCACATATCCCGAGAAGGAAGATAGTCAACTTACATCCAGCTTTGACTCTCCGATCATAAAGGCCTTGCACCACTTCCTGCCCGGCATCATGAAAGCTGGGCTATCTTCTTGAGATGAGACGGTAAGGAAATCTGGTGAGCCCGGCATGGTATCTTTGTCAACTGAAGGCAGCATCGGTGCTGTGGGTGGCACCTTCTGCCATAGATCATCTAAGGGTATACTGAGGAGGGCCTTGATACGATCCTCGGGCGACTTGTCCGTCAGGCCAAATGCCTCAACAGCTTTTTGATACGATGACTCGGCCACAAAATCGGGAATGGGCTTGAACAGTAGCACAGCTCCTCCGGTACTAAGACAGCGCTTCATCAGCGGCTCCTCCGAGCAGAGCAATACTGTCGCAGACACTGCGTACGTTAGTCGAGCTCTATATCAACAGCGTCCAAAACATACGTCCACCGGCGCTCTCTCCGCATACTGTGATCTCATCTGCGTCACCCCCGAATCCGCCTATGAACTTCCTGATCCACTGTAGAGCCGTGCGCTGGTCGTGAAAGCCGTTGTTCGCTTTGTATCCTGCTTTGCGCAATTCTTCGGAAGTCGCAAACCCTGTGAATCCCAGTCGATAGCTGTATCTGTTAGTAGAATAGGTGTGCTCCAGGTTGTAAGACCCACTTGATGGTAATGCCGATGATGGGCTTTTTCCTCTCGACAGACATCTTCACAATGGGAGCTGGATCATAGTGTGGGTACCAGCTACTCCCAACAGCAAAGCCGCCTCCATGTATGAAGACAAAGACAGGCAGCTTAGCATTTGAATCAATAGCTCCATCCTTGTTGGTCGGCACCGTGATGTTGAGGTTTAGACATTCGAGATCGGAATGCGTCGGAACCTCTGGGAGTGGCAGAGAGTGCTGAATGAAGCCGAACTCGCGTTCTATGGCACCGACTGGAGATACTGGAGGAGGACTAGTCCATTAGTAAATGGTAATCGGCCTCACCAGTTAACGTACCCAAATTTGGTGGCATTTGTACTTCCAGATCCATAGCTGTCAACAAGCTGGGGTACAGCCAAGCGGTCTTTTAACGAAGCATACTTCAGGCCAAGAAATTGGATTGCGCCATCTACTGGCTTTCCTTCTATTTCACCTAGGTGTTGGTGCTTGAGGGTCTCCGACATGTTGGCTGCTGCGTGGGATGGGATGGTAGGAAGCAAAGGATCGGTCCATAGACTAACGGATTGTTTACTATTGCCTAGTGTCTGTTTGGATTGGCCGAAGGAAGTTGCGCATCCCTGGAGCTACTTCTTTGGAAGCAGGTACGTTGGGGGCAATGATGGTCCGATAATTACCCCGCACCTGTACCTGCCATTTCAGTAGTGGGGCAATCAGCCGCAACCAAACACTGCGTGCGGGATGTGGGGGTACTACAGCGACTGCGCCTCGCATCGATGAGGAAATCGTAATTCAATCGATAGGTGAGCTCGGCAATTAGCAAGCATGTTTTCGGCTAGATAGAGTGCTACCTAGGTAGATGTACATGTTACACGCAGCCAGTATCTTGCACAACTGACACCAACAATGGAGGCCGGCCTCCCTCATACTGACGCCTTTGTCAGTCTTGTTCTGCTTGATGGCGGCAGCTTTCTAGGAGATCTGAGCCGCTTGCATGCTGGCGAGAGTGGCACATTTCGCATGTACAACTGGGCGTTTTACATCGCGCACAAGGGAAGACACATACTTTGGGATCTTGGGTTGGATGAGGTGCGTAGGCCAATATCAGGTTTAGATACCTGGATCTTCTTCTGACTAGTTTCTTGAAGGACCGAAGTTGTTATACCCCTTGGGTTAACAAGTTCATGTTGGATATCGTCAATCATGTCGGACCAAGGAGGACTATCGTTCAGCAGTTGGCGCAAAGAGGCGTAGCTGCGGAAGATGTCGATACTGTCTTGTTCAGGTATGGATACAAGAGTGGCATGAATGAAGTTCGCTGAGCAGCCTGCAGCCACGCTCATTGGGACCACTCGCGGCCTATCAGCGATGTTTTTCCAAATGCAAAGGCGTATTTCGGTCCCGGCACGAGAGCAGCCTGTCAGCCAGGGCACATGAAAGATCCAAGCCTGCAGTGGGACGGTCGCTTTTTCGACCCGGAGAACTCGACAGAAAAATGGGATGAGCTACAAGGCGTATGGAAGCCTTTCGGTCCATTTGAGAGAGCGCTGGACTATTTTGGAGACTGTAGTTTTTGGATTCTTGATGCACCCGGCCATATGCCGGGTAACTTGGCTGCCGCTGCACGACTGCAAGGCGGCGAGTGGGTGATACTTGGCAGCGATTGTACGTTGTCTCGCGGAGGTTCTGTTTGCTCTCGCTAATTCTGTGAACCAGGCTGTCATTCGCGGTACGTTAAAATGCACCAGGCATTTGCTGACGTGCATGGTCGCTACAATCGGGCGTTTACTGACCGGTCAGGGATTTGCTGGACGGCACACGAGCAATTGCGGAGTTTCCAGGTCCAGGAGCAGTGAGCATGTCCCTGCATACAGACCTCACTTCAGCAAAAGATACTATTGCAAAAATAGGACTGCTGGAGAGCCATTTTGGTGTTCATACAGCGCTTGCGCACGATGCTACCTGGCTGAAGAAGGGCACGGACCAGGTACTCATGTCGCTGCTGGATGACGAGATGCGAATCGCGGCGAAGGAGAAGATCCCGAATGACCAGATACCGTAGATCGTGTTCCAGATACGAGCCAGGGTTGGTGGCTGAAGTTTGGAGGCCTGATGAGCAGGCGATGCGACGGGACCCAGGATTGTTGGATACGCGTTCGGCGCGATTGCTGTGGGGCGGTGCGCGGGTGCGGGATGCCCGAAGACATTACCTTTCTAGATGTCAATAGAGCAACAAGTTAGATGTGAACTGTTATTTCGAGAAGCGATGTAGACTTTCATTCTGTTGGGCGATGTCCACAGATGTTCTTTCCTTAGTGGGCTGCCTCAACCTCCAGCCATCACGCTAGAGACGCGCCTACCTGAATAGCCCCGAGGTTGGAACGACACGTCATGACATTTCGTGTCTGAAGGCGCCGCAGCGTCTGCGCTACAAATAACGCCCTGCTTAGGCTTTGCGCCCGCAATCAACGGGCCGGAAGCGCGTGATAGGCAATGGCAATGCAAGAGATGGAGTAGCCATTCATTGAGCATGCCTGCGAATGCAATCCTATGAGTTATACGTGAATGATACATGGTGAGGAGAGTGGCCATGACGCGATGGTTGTTCCAACCTGACAGCTACTTCCAATGACAAGAGCTTCTGACGATATGGGATTGATGCTGTCACGGCCGTAGTACACAAACAGCTGCCTTTTCAACACAAGCTGGAGATATTCCACCAAGCGTAGCGAGACGGTCTAGTGCTGATCTACTCCACAAGTGCCAAGGGGCCACGATCGGGGCCCGGACCAGCACGACTTCATTTACTTCCAACCCCCAAAATTTGTAGATCTGACACCTTCGCTCTTCACCATGGCTCTACGTGACCTACCATGGGCGACGATACTCTTCTCTGGCGTCATTGCGGCGGTCGCATATGGCGTAATGAGGTTGATCCAAGTGCGGCGCTTCTACAAGGACCTTGTACGTGGACGGTATCCATCATGGATTCCAATTGAGGCCGCACTGACAGCGCATTAGCCCAAACCGCCTCACAGCTTCCTGTTCGGGCACCTCAAATTGCTAGGCGAGGCTTTCCAGATGCTACCCAATGGTGGGCATTATCAGGCAGCGATAGTTACGATTGCCAGGAAGTACGACATGCCAGGTCTCTTTTACATCGATTTGTGGCCGATCTCATGGGCGCAAATCGTGATTACGGATCCGGATGTCGCACTCAACATGACAGCCGTTCGGAACCACCCCAAGCATGAAGGCGAGGGACTGATGATCGACCCCTTGGTTGGAGACGGCAATATCGTTACAACGAATGGCGCGCAATGGAAGTATCTCCATAGGATGTTGAGTCCTGCTTTCGCCATCTCGCATGTCACCAACATGAGGCCGATGGTTGCCGATGAGGTTATGAAGTTTCGGTCGTGTCTTTCTGAGAAAGCTAAATCGGGAGAGGTATTCAAGTTCGAGGATCTCACCCAGCACTTGACGTTCGATGTCATCGCGACTACGACCTTTGGGCGATCTCTCGACGCGCAGACCAAAGGCAGCCCTGCTCTGCAGCACTTTGAGAACATGTGTCGTGCTCATATGACAACGCGAGAGTCTTTCAACTACGTCCGCAATTTCTTCGTCAATAGGAAGGTTTACGCCGAACGCGCAAAGTTTGATGCCATTGTGGAAGGACTCATCAAAGAGAGATTCGAGATCGTAAAACGTGAGTAAGAAAGTCAATCGAAACCTGGCGAGGCGGCTAACATGTAGCTTGCAGGCGACAAGCTCGATCTGTCGGTAAAGCGAGGTCTAGGCATCATGGATCTCATCTTGCGAGACTATGTTGCAGAGCGACAGGACGAAGTAGAGGTGCTCGACCCCCAATTCATCCAAGATGCTCTTACTCAGGTAAAGACTCTTCTGATCGCTGGATTTGGAACCACGTCGGATACCATCTGCTTTGGAGCAATGCTGCTCAGCGCTCACCCTGAAGTGGTACGAAAGATGCGAGAAGAACACGACCGAGTATTCACTCCCGGTATCGAGGCAACGTACGAAATGCTAAAGAGGGAGCCGAATAAACTGAACGAGCTCACTTACACAAACAACGTTGTCAAGGAAGTCCTGAGGTTCTACCCGATAGGCAATACCGCGCGCAAGGGCATCGATACTCTTACGTATCAAGGTCGAGAATGGCCGGCCAAAGATCTTATGATCTGCCCCGTCCAACTGGCTATGCATATGGATCCAGCGATATTTCCAGGCAAGTGGCATCTATCGATCCTTCTGACTGATGCGTATCCGGTGGCTAATACTTCTTCCAGATCCGCTCTCGTTCGACCCCGATCGGTTTACACGAGAAGATTTCCCGCGCCACGCCTGGCGTCCGTTCGAGAGGGGTCCACGGGCGTGCCTGGGTCAACCGCTGGCGATGGACGAGTTCGTGATCACATTCCTTCTGACAATACGCGACTTCGACTTTACTTGCGCGGATCTAAAACCCAACAAGACGCCTAGAACAGAGTGGTTTGATCTGGACTTGACGTTCGGTGACCGCGCCTACCAGGAATTTGTTTTCGAGGCCAAACCACGCGATGGCATGCCGATGACCGTTAAGAGATCCAACTGGCCCTCGTAAGCGCGGCAATTGCTACCAGTTCGGGCCAATAGACGACATCAGTGGCGGTCGCTAGTATGGGCCACCTCAGTGTGCATTCTCCGCAGCGTATGTGTGCAAGTATTGATTCGGAAGGGGCGGATGGCAGATTTGGATCGACGTGTCATAAGAAGACGGGAAAGGTGTTGCGGTGATTATACGGTGAAAGTTGCATTGCCTGTTGCACGTTGACAACTATCGCGCGATTATGACGAAATATGGAGAAGCTGTTGAGGCATAAGCAAATACCATGCTCCTAGGTATCCCGTTGTTCCGCCAGCCCACATTGGCGCATACCTTCCGGGAGCTCGGCTGATGCTTATGCGAGCTCGTCCTGCAATTCCAATATTTGACCGATGTCTTGTCCATGTAGTTGCCGTGCCTTAAACTTACCGCTCGTCTGGTGTGATGCTTACAGTCGTAGATTTACATTCAGCCTGAATGCATAGCTACGCGCAGCCAATCGGAGGGCGGGGAGATCCACTTAGCGCGAACCCCTCACAGATTTTGCAAGTACCATGGGGCTCCGCATGCGGCTCGGGTACATTCTTGGCTGCCGTATGCCTCTGGGCCAAGCATCGGGAGTGGCTTCGGACACAAGACTGGCTCGGCGCTCGGAAATAAGTGGACTGGCGACCGCTGCTCAACCGCGTGGCCGACGAGACCATGACGTACGGGAATCGTGGGCTATGGTGTTTACCAACCGCGTGCTGACGCAGGGTCGGTGACTACGGCTATTTACTGTGCTATAAGACATGGAGTGAAGACGACGACGAGCTGCATCAGGACCATCCGAACCAAACCAGACAACCGGCGTCATGTTTACCTCGACGCGTGCGCTGCAAGTGTTGGCCTTCGCTGCCACAGGAGCGTATGCTCAATACGTCTTCCCGGACTGCACCAGTGGACGTTTGAGCAATGAGACCATCTGCGACCCTTCGGCGTGTACGTTCATCTCCCACTCATACGGCGTTTTCACGATGCTAATCCCCTTCCAGCTCCGCTAGCTCGTGCGAGAAACCTCGTGTCTCTCTACACTCTCGAGGAGAAGATCAACGCTACGAGCAGTGGCTCGCCAGGCGTTGCCCGTCTCGGCATACCACCTTACCAGTGGTGGAACGAGGGTCTTCACGGCATTGCTGGCCCTTACACCAACTTCAGCGATGAGGGAGAGTTTAGCTACTCCACCTCGTTCCCCCAGCCCATCTTGATGGGTGCGGCTTTCGACGATGAACTCATCACCGAAGTTGCAAAGGTCATCTCAACCGAAGCGCGTGCTTTCAACAACGCGAACAGGACTGGTCTTGACTTCTGGACACCCAACATCAACCCGTTCCGTGATCCTCGCTGGGGCCGCGGACAGGAGACACCCGGTGAAGACTCTTACCATCTGTCTTCTTACGTCCAGGCCTTGATCCACGGACTTCAGGGTGACGCGTCTGACCCTTACAAGCGTGTTGTCGCAACTTGCAAGCACTACGCCGGTTATGACGTTGAGGACTGGAACGGTAACCTTCGCTACCAAAACGACGTGGAGATCTCTCAGCAGGATATGGTTGAGTACTACCTTGTCCCATTCCAGGCCTGTGTTCAGGCGAACGTGGGTGCTTTCATGTGCAGCTACAATGCGGTAAATGGTGCCCCACCATGTGCCGACCCTTACTTGCTGCAGACCATTCTGCGTGAGCACTGGGGCTGGACGAACGAAGAGCAATGGGTCACGTCCGATTGCGATGCTGTTCAGAACGTCTACCTCCCTCACCAGTGGTCATCATCTCGTGCTGGCGCTGCTTACGACTCCCTGAAGGCCGGTACCGATCTCACATGCGGTACTTACATGCAGGAGCACCTCCCCGCTGCCGTCAAGGATGGTCTGCTCGATGAAGCTGTCCTTGACCAGGCCCTTGTCCGTCAGTACTCCTCGCTCGTTCGTCTTGGATACTTCGACTCTGCCGACAACCAGCCCTACCGTCAGCTCGGCTTTGACGCGGTTGCCACCAACGCTTCGCAGGCGCTCGCACGCAGGGCCGCTGCCGAGGGTATTGTTCTGCTGAAGAACGATGGTACACTGCCACTCTCTGTCGATTCATCTATGTCAATTGGACTTTTCGGTGACTGGGCAAATGCAACCGACCAGCTCCTTGGTAACTACGCTGGTGTTGCTACATACCTTCACTCTCCTCTGTATGCTCTCGAGCAGCTCAACGTTACCATCAACTATGCTGGCGGAAACCCTGGTGGCCAGGGCGACCCAACGACCAACCGCTGGTCCAACCTTTACGGCGCGTACTCTACCAGCGATGTCCTAATGTACGTCGGTGGTATTGACAACAGCGTTGAGGCGGAAGACGACGACCGCACTTACCTCACATGGACTGGAGCTCAGCTCGATGTTATCAGCCTGCTCGCCGACACCGGAAAGCCAGTCATCGTCGTGGTCACTGGAGGTGGACAAATTGACAACACTCCTCTCGTCAACAACCCCAACATCTCTGCAATTCTCTGGGCCGGATACCCCGGTCAGGACGGAGGTTCCGCCATCATCGATATTGTTACCGGAAAGACTGCTCCCGCTGGACGTCTCCCTACAACTCAGTACCCCTCCAACTACATCGCCCAGGTCTCCATGATGGACATGAACATGCGCCCCGGTGAGAACAACCCTGGACGTACCTACAAGTGGTACAACGGTTCCGCCGTCTACGAGTTCGGTCACGGTCTGCACTACACCAACTTCTCCGCTGAAGTCACTAGCGAGCTTCAACAGAGCTACGCCATCTCTGCCCTCACTCAGCACTGCAACAGCACTGGAGGTTTCCTCGAGCGTTGCCCCTTCGTATCTGTCGATGTCGAGGTCTCCAACGATGGTGATGTTAGCTCTGACTACGTCACTCTTGGCTACATTGCTGGAGAGTTCGGTCCTGCGCCCCACCCCAAGAAGTCGCTCGTCTCTTACAAGCGTCTTCACAACATTGCTGGAGGCTCTTCCGCCACTGCGACTCTCAACCTGACTCTTGCGTCTCTTGCCAGGGTCGACGAGATGGGCAACAAGGTCCTGTACCCCGGTGACTACACCATGATGATCGACAACCACCCGCTTGCGAGTGTCAACTTTACCTTGACGGGAGAGCAGGCTATGCTAGACATGTGGCCTCAGCGTCCTAACCAGACTGCTCAGGGCGTCGAGTACGTTGGTGACTACTGGTATGGAGGTTACGGTAGCGACTATGGCGCTGAGCCTGCGAAGTTCCAGAGCACCATGTAAATGGACTTTCGTATACCTATACATATGAAATGTATATAGCAATCTACCAAGTGACTGCAATTCTTACTGAACACTTGCAACATGTGAATCTACTTCCATCTTCATCTCACCTTCACCGTCGAACTTGCGCTCGGACCATAATGTTTGTTTGCTACACCGACTGGCTCTTTCCACCTTTTGTCATCCACTCCTTCCCACACGTTTTTCCAGCCCCGATACTGAACGGCCGATCAAGACAGCGATGACGCTTTGCGACGAGTGCGATAACGAGGGCGCACTACGTTGCGTTGGCTGCGGTTCCAGCTGGTACTGCTCCAAAGAGTGCCAGAAGAAGGCGTGGCCTCTTCACAAGATTCTCTGCAAATCCGTCAAGGACTTTCAAGACCGGCCCAAAGCCGAAGAACCTGGCGAGAAGTACACTCGCGCGATCTACTTCCATTCCGATGAGGGCGCACCACGATTCGTTTGGCTCAAGACTACGACCAAAGATGGAGAGTACGGACACCCTTGCCTCACAGCTTGCCCCGGTGCGCTTGCCGCCATCAATGAGAAAGAAGCAGAGTCTGCAGAAGAGAGTGGTATGACAGATATGAAGATCCGGCATAATCACGCGCTCGCCCGTCGTCTCCCGTACAACTTGTTCCTGTCCTACCGCGAGAACTTTCTCCACGATGGATCGACACACAACATGGCCATCGACAAGATCATCGATTCCCATTCTCCTCACCTGCACGCCTGGCGGGGTCCGATGATTGCGTATGGGACTGATGCCTTCGATGACGTTCCTTTCAGTCAAGATGCGTCGTACAGTCAAGATCTCGGTCCTTCCGACCTTCGTATCATCGCGCACAAGCTCAACACTTACTACTTCAAGTACGCTGTTGGTCCGACGATTGAGGACATCAAAGAAGAGTTGAGTAGCGTGGTCGGCGTACGGATCAACTGCGATGGTGATGTGGAAGTTGAAGGCCGTCCTCGCTATGAGCCTATGGAACTTCCAGCCTATCGTTCGTTCTTCCACGCAGCCACCGATGTTTCAAAGCACATTGAGCTACCCATCGTTGTGCAGCGCATTTCCGGAAGTGTTCGCAAGTGGGGAACTCGGGCGAACACCAGTTCTTCTCCCTACACCAACACTGGAGCTACATTCCTTCACATCGGCTGCAAACCTGAGCGCAAAGAATGGGGTCTCAACTTCGGTCTCGCACCACTTGAATGGCAGGATTCAGTTTGCAGTGTCGTCGTTATGCGCAAAGACAAGAAGGCACTGCTCCCGGAACATGTCGACGCGCTTGTCGAATACCATCAGAGGTATCTCATGGCGTTCTTCCAGCATGAGTCTGAGACTACGTATGGAGGCACCGAGGATGAGGTGCAGCAGGGCAAGGCGCGGATTATGAACGAGATCACCAAGGACAAGTTTGAGAAGTACTATGTGGCTTGGAAGTCGAGGCAGACGGACGAGGTGAAGCGGCAACAGATCTCGCCATACGACGTTTAGCGCTGCTGCGAGCTCGGTACTTGACTCTGTTCCTTCGTCCCGGAAGACTCAACATCGCGCGGGCGGACCTTGGAACATTTTCGATTCGTAAGGACCTGAAGTGGAGGACGCGCTCAAAGCACATGAAAATTGGGAATGGTTTCAACAAAGGTCGTTACCTAGCTAGTTATTAGTAAAGCTCGACCGACTGATTCAACATGAATTCATCCAGATCACTCTCGTTTTGTAGGCTTCGTGATGTAATCTCTTCCTTCATTATCGTCTAATTTATGTTCTTCCCACCCCACCTACAACTTGCTCTTAAACCCGCCTACATCCTTAACGACCATAACCGACATCGGCTCCCTAAGTAAATCCTCCCCATTGACCGCCGCTTGAAGCTTCTTCAATCCCGCGCTCTTGGCGTGGAACATCAGAGCATCTTTGTCCGCATATCTGATGACTATCAGTTTTGAACTTGCTCAAGGCTTTGCGGCGTGACTTACGTTTCAAATATGACAAAGCTCGGCGCGTCGCCCTTGGTTTCGCGCTGCAGGTGATACCGGGTCGTGCCGGGTTCAGTGGCTTTTACTTCTTGGGCTGCGATGTTGAGCAGTTCCTCCACCTAAGGGGCGTTAATTGTTTGTACATGTCAGTGTGCCAATTTCACGCGTACCCTGTCTTGGTTGCCGGGCTTGGGCTTGAGGATGGCGATGATTTCGTAGCCTCTGGACATGATGACGTAATGTTCGACGCGCAAATGTTGGCTTGAGGAATTGCAAATGTCTGAGCGCGCAAAAGAGCTATAGTATGCAAGAGTATTAAGAGATACGGGATATTCAGATAACGTAGCCAAGCCTGAGGTCGCGTCGTTGAGCTCGTCGCCGTCAGCTTACTTTCTCCGCTTTCCCAAAGTAGCGCCGAACCGAAAGATGCCGAGGCACGATTCAGGAGGTATCCATGCGTCGCAGCACATACTGCGCGTTCACTCTCTTACCCGTCACCATCACGGTCGCAATGGACGAAAATGTTCCAACAGAAGTTGCCGCTTGGCAAAACGACTGACTACTCCACACGCGCCTCTGCCGATGCAGTCCGCTTGCAAGCATCGGCGTGGGTCACGAGGTGCGGGGCAGACGCGCACCCAGTCCGTGCCGCATCATTCACTCTAATACCTAGGTACTTATGATTCTAGCTATCACCAGCTGGTGCCAGTTTCCGATACATTGATAATTGGATCGCTCTTGTATACGTCAGCGTATCATTCAAATTAACTTTGAGAACTTGTACGTGCTTTCATATGGCAACGCTTAGCACGATCTATTCTTCCAAGGTTGTTATCGGTGCCAGGGTCTTGTTCTGCGAATTACATCCGATTGACCAAGGTCACCAGGAGCGATAACAGTTCGATAGACTTCATCAAGATGGATCATTTTGAAACACCGGAATCGACAATAGATTTGAGCACGACAGATTTGTCACTTCGATCGTTGTGGTCCGAGAAAGAGAGACTTTTAGCAAGGCTCCATCAGCTCGCAGACGAGATGTCCAAGGAACGGGCCGCACAGCTTGAAGATCCCCAAGCCGAAAGGGCCGAGTCTGGAGATGAAATTGTAGTGACAACGTCAGTCGGTGAAGGTCGTGTTGATGTTTGTCCGGCTGCTGGACGGCGGTCGGACTTCACCATGAGCTGGGATGCGTGGGGGGTGTGCGCTCGATCGGGCTGTTCAGTGTGTATCCTGCGCCGCAAGATCGTACTGGACTCTGGGTACACAATGTCTCAAGACTCTGAGGACTTGCCCGCCCTCGTTCTTTATCATCACGACCTTTTATTCGACAGCTTTGAGTTTGATAAGAAGCTCTTCGAATGGATCGTCGAAAAAAGCGACCTGGTCGAGGAGTGTGAGATCTATGACAGACAAGTGAGGTTCGGTGGCACGGGGACTTACGGGCCAGATGTTGGGCGAATGCTACTACCATGTGATCCGAGTTTCGGGGCGAATCTACCCATGGCATTAGACTGGATCAACAGATGCGACGATGAGCATCCTTGCATAACCGATAAGCTCCCACCTTTACCGAAGAGGCTACTGGATCTCCGCGATGGAAGAGTACGGCTTGCTCGAACAGAGGGGGGGGCGTGGGCACTACGCTTGTCTCAGTCACCGATGGGGCTCGACCCTGATGTTACAGACAAACGCGGTAACAATGAAGAAGTTTGAACAGGATGTTCCGTGGCTAACCATACCACAAACATTCCAAGACGCGATTACATTTACACGTGGGCTTGGACTCGATTACCTATGGATTGATTGCGTGTGCATAGTCCAAGACGACGCAGTGGACTGGCAGGAGCAATCCGGTGCGATGGCTGAGATCTACAGCAACTCCTATGTTACCTTGGCAGCAGCTGTGGCTGAGGACTCTAACTCTAGACTCCTGTCTCACGGCGATCGGAGGTGTAATTTTGAGAAAATGCCTGTGGAACTTACGGTAAATGGAGTCGAAATTCCTGTATTTGGCAGACAAGCTTTAGAGCACGGTTCTTTTCCGTTGCTAAAGCGCGGCTGGGTTCATCAGGAACGCCTTCTTTCGCCTCGCATCATCTACTTTGCCAGCGAGGAGCTGCTTTGGGAGTGCGTCGAGAAAAGAGATTGCGAATGTGAAGGCCATCATGGTTGGGATCCCCGAGCTAAGATACCTAGAGAGTCCGCAGCCGATGGACCCAACGATGAGGCCAGCGATGAGACCAGCGATGAGACCAGCGATGAGACCAGCATTGGTTCCAGCGATCCCTTCTCTGACATGATGGACCCCAAAGACCCCCACGAGATGTGGCGTGTTATCGTGACCGACTACTCCACACTGGACCTTACCTTCCCAAAAGACTGCTTACCAGCCTTGTCTGGAATCGCTCAAGTTTTCGGCAAAACAATGGATGACGATTATGTAGCCGGCTTGTGGAAGAAATTCCTGATATCAGATCTGCTCTGGTTCAGGAGTCTAGAAGAAGCAGAAATGATCGCAGAACACTGGAGAGCGCCATCCTGGTCATGGGCGTCTACACAATCGGTAGACGAGGTTCAATTTCATGAGGTCGAACGGCCGCTTGCAGAGCTTGTCGAAGCGGTTGGCGAACCAGCGGGCAGGGACCCTTATGGGGAGCTGACCTCTGCATATATCCGGATCAGAGCGAAAGGGATTTGCGCAAACATCCAGCGTGACCTGACCTCGCCGACAGGATATACTGTGGCTTTCCGATCGGGTGACGACGCCCCCCTTCGCTTGAATCATTATGTTTGTCCACTATTCAGCTTACGAACAGCCAAGATCAAAGCGGAGGCTCTACAGGAACTTATTATCGTCCCAATTGGGAAGAAGATCACATCCTATGGAGTAGCGATGCATTCAATACCTGAACATGGACTCAAGATTGGATTTACATATCCAGATGAGGCGCTATCATGTCTCCTAATTTCCAAGGACAAGACCGCTGGAAAAAGATGGCAACGGATTGGGCTGCTGCACCTTGGGCAATTTCCATTCCGGAACAAGGAGGATTGTCCCGCTACTGAGGTATACATGCCGCGCGTATATTTAAAGCTGAAGAGGCAGCATGGCATGTCAGACAAGGAGATTCAGTCGAGATACGAAGAAGGTTTTGAAGCTCAAGAGGCCATTTTTCGAGCTTTCGATGAGGAGCCTATGCAAGAATACACCCTTTGGTAGCTATCCACCTTCGCAGTCGTCACCGAGTTATACCCAAGCTCTATGAACAGTATGCTTTACCAAGAAGAGCGTGACTTTGGGCCTCGCAAGACGTTTCATCGTAGATCTGGGCAGGCTTTCTCCATCATATCAATCCAGCATGATCATGCATCGTCACCACTGCCAGTGCTTTCCGGCTCGATGACTGCTCTAGCTCCAAGATCATACCTGTCGCCTTCCCGCAAAAAGTAAAACCTCGCGTTAGACGGCGGTAGAGGCCTTTCCCAGCTTCCTTCTCTCGACCAGAAATCACCATCGTATACCAATGCATACGTACTGCCAATGACTTCCATCTCGTTCTTGTTGACCACCAGCGCGGTGTCTTCGTCAATTGCCAATCCTAGAAGTTCCGGGTAGGCGTTCAGAATCTCAAACATGTCGAAGTGCCTATTGCGTACTAGGACGTGCTGATCGATGGCCGAGTTTTTGAGATATCCAAAGCCGACTGTATGATCGCCTGCAGCCTCGTTAGCTTTTTTTTCTTTCCATGACATGTATCCGAGAGACTCACCTATCATGATAGTGTTGTTTGCGGTATCACCGCGAGCAAGGAAACTGCCAATGATACTCGCGCCAGCACTAGATCCAGAGATAACACCTCCAGCATCGAGAACATCCTGAAAAGCTGTTTCGGTCTTGGTGCCAGCGTAGGCATCCACGAGTCTCCATTGTCTACCTCCACCGAAGAAGACGCCCTTCGCACTCAATAATGGGGCAATGAACTCGTCGGTATCGGCAACCGCAGGATCGTATGTATGCAATACCGTCACATTTGTGGCGCCATACTTGCGGAACGCTACTGCGGTCGTGAAGTTCTGGTCGTATGTGTCCTCGCCGCCTGCCGTAGGAACCACAACGATCGATGCATCGGGGCCGCCAGCAAGGGCAATGATGCGCTGGTAGATGCTCTCGCTCTGCAAATTTCCTCCAACGATTACGAGGTGGCCGTTTTCTGGACCGACATAAGTCGTGTTGGTGCCATTCGTTCCGTAGATGGGAGTCGCGATGGCCGTGACCGCAAGAGCAGCGGTGTAGAAGAAAGTGGTAAACCGCATGATGAATACGCTGTTACCCGACGGACTGGACAGCACTCAAAGCGAAAGCTTACTATATATACCTCCGACTACCAGTGACGGCATCTTATCAAAAAGTCGATGCTGGGCATCGCATCATCGTGGGTCTTGATCTAATTGGGCGGAGATCGACAGCACCTGCCTGAAAGGTATTAAAACCTCAACGGCAACCCCACTCAT